TCTCTTGTTCAAAGAAATAATATTGTGTGTCAGAGATAGTGATTTTTTCGGGGGGGGGAGGTAACAGGATGTGCTGGCCAGCTTTAAGTTATACTTTCTGTACATAGGCCTACATGTACATGTTCTGTGTTTCAGCAATTTATACCAAATGAAATTTGTACGATGTGTACTGCACTTAACAAATCAATCAAAGTGCCCCATTGTGCATTATACTCCTCATGGCCAACCCCCTCCAAGTTTTTAATGATGGGCTGACTTTGGCAAAGTTGGCACCAGGCATGACTCTGGCCCCGTTGAGTTCTGGCCATTTAATGTGTAAATGGGGACCAACTAATGCGTACATGTATCATTAATGATTCTTGTATACAGATTTGTTGTACAGCTAATCTGAACAACTGGCTATGGCTGCAAGTAACACAAGCATATGGCAAGTGGCTGCAGCCGCTAGCCAATCATCTCCATGCTTTAGGCTCAAGCCATAGCCATAACATTTGGGCACAGTTTACGTCAATCTGATGCAGAGTCTTTCAAACCTGTAGCTTTAAGCCCCTCCTTCCCACCATGAGTCGGCCTGCAGTAAAAATAAAGCATTTGGACAGCCCAACCTTCATCTCGCACGCAAGAAAAATTGGCAGTTGCCCAAACCTGGAGTGCAAAGCGGCTGTCTTTATTTAACCTAATATCGTTCCAACCCATTTCCAGGCATGATTTATTCCCCACTTTGTGCACATGCATGCACAAAGGAGGACCGCTGTAGTCATTGTGTTCTTGCTGTGGATGTACTTGCCCAGAGAACTTCCAATACAGGGAAGGGTAGGGCATGACACAGCAGTGTTTAGAGTCTCCTGTTTGTGCACCTTGGATTTGATATTACAAACCCAGCATCATTCTTGAGCCTAACGTCAAAATGCAGCATGCATCACAACTTGAGCTAAGAATTCAAGATGCCCTGGTTTTCAATTTAGATTCATTCCACAGGCAGTCGATGTCAAGAAATAGGGCAACACGCACAGTGCTTTAGGCACAGCGGCCGCACCCCTTGGCGAGCTTTTCCCTGACAGCCCGTCATCTCACAAAGTTGGCAGTGTCTAGCCACCCTTCCTTGGTTACCCAAGCAGTCTGCCGGGCAATGCGTTGATATGGATTACACTTAATTAGTGGTATTATAGTGTTCGGTGCATGAGGGTAAGACACCCCACCTTTCTTAGAAGTTAAAACCTGATGGGCAACATTGCTGGCTGTCTCCCCAGGAAGTCTCTGCTAATCTTGGAGGATTGCAGAGAGTCGGTCTTGACTGAGCAATTAAGTGCTGTCCCATTGGTAGCTCCATAGTGTTACTTTTAAATAGTCTTTTGACAAATTAGGCTGAGTCATTTTTTTTGCTTTCTTTTAAATTTTCAAAACTTGTTGGTCTAAACTGTACAGGTATGCTTACACTTTCAGTAGAACCGGTAAATACAGATTATGGACTGTTGTGAAGGAATGCAAGAGGTCACCGTTCATGTTCATAAAAAGCACTCTGTGTTTGTACCAGTTGGTTTGACATACTTGATTATTTTCCGTCTGAATGAGTACAAACCCATTGCACCCGCGCGTACATGTAGGCGTTGGGTGTGCTGTGGTATTGTAGAGTGTGTGTTATCGCGTCAGTTGCTCCATAATATTCAAGTACCAGCACATCTCTTTGGCGGAGTGGGAGGGACTCCAGTGTAAGCTGACAGTATACATGTACAGTGCACAGGTGTAATCGACTCATGGTGACATCAGTTTTGCTGATGTTCCTACAGTAGGCCTACATGTACACGAACATGAAGAAGTGTGTCTCAACTGTGAAAAATGAAATCTCACACCCATGTCGTTAAAACAAGTGGTTGATATTAATTCTCAGAATCAATCATACGTTTACATGTACTAAACTGTTCCAGTTCAGCAGCTATGATAAATGACATCATTAGATGCATATTTACAAACTTCAGAACTTGTCACCGTCAGGGTAACAAATGCCCTTTTAATTGGCAATCAAACTTGCTGAATCAGTAGCAGCAAGTCCTTATGATGAAATCCACACAACTGCCAAACTGTAAAGGCCATGTGATTATTGCATTAGCGTCAACACAGGAACCATCAAGGAAACGATAAGAAGAGGGTTAAAGCTTTCACTTTTGAAATCACACATTACTAGCTTTTAATTTCATGGACCAAATTTAATAGGTGCGGCATTAACAACCTCACCGAGATCTCCCATAAATGTTTATTTGTACTATTTGGATATGCAAGTACACTGTACATGTACATGTGTATCTGTGGAGTGAATTTTGATGAAGTTCTGGAATACAGAGATACATTTATTACATACATGTACATTTACCAGTATCTAAGTTTGTTTATCTTTGAATAATGTTTCACATACCGGTATGTTCCTACTGTATGTGTGCATGTACATGTACTGGTACAGACATGAACATGTAGACGTACTACATGGAGGACTTGAATCCATGGCTGTCTGGTTACAAGAGCAGTCTGTTATTCAGATCTTCTCACCATTTTCCATTTTTTTGTTTAAATACCATACTTTTCAACAAGTAATTTTATCAGTCGTGCCGTGAAGCATGGTGTGGCTTTTCATATATTGGGCATGTGCCATCTCGATAGCTGCAACTAGGGCCCTTTTGATGTCAGTCACATGAACGTCTGGCCTGAATCTGCTCCCGGCTCCTCACTAAGCTCTTACCCTGGCCCTCCGTCTTTGTAACAGTCCAGCTTACCAGATGTTCTGTGGCAGAATGTGTGTATTTCCTCTGAAACCAGCAGCATTGGGTGCTGAGCTCCGATTGGTCCAAAGTTGCTTGTCATTAGTCTAATCCGGAGCCCGATTGGACAGAACTCTTGGCTGGGATTGGTCCAGACCATGAATAATCAGGACTTGGATCCTTCTCAGAGAAACTCAGAAGGTTTTGTGTGCATTTCGGTGACAACCATTGACGCGGCATTTGTATTTCACCGTAAAGCCATGAGAATTTACATCAACGGCGACATGAGGTAGTGCAACAATTGCCAAATCCAAAAAGACACCATCCCCCCCCACAAAAAGAGAACAACCCAATTGTTACACAAGATAATGACCTCAACAAGGAAATAGACTCGAAAGTACTCTGGGGAAACACAAACACATTGGAGGAAATGAGCACACTTTTGCATGACAAGGCATCGAGGAAAAAAAAAATGACCCGGCAAGGCAGATGACGAGGTGAATGATAATATTGACCTTCAGTTACCTGTAACATCCTCATTGTGTATTGTACTAGGCCTGCGATGTTTCCTGATCAACACCTTGATTTCGGCCAGTGACATGCACATGTCCCATGCATGGATCTCTGTGCGTGATTGAGAACTCGGAGTGAGCAGTTCCCCTTTTACTTTCCGTGCTGCGCTGTGATATTTCCTGAACCAAAAAAGACTTTTGCTTTCAACTAATTTCAGTTCCACTTTGTTCTCTAAATGTTTTGTACGATGGCTTAAAATATTGAATGCGCACCTGCATGTACGTGAAGTAGGGTACATGAATCTATTCATGCTAACAGCCCCTCCTATTTCAATATGAGTACATGTACATGTAGGTGAAGAGAGGACAGGTACTTTACTAGTACATGCAGCGTTCAACAGTCGCCCACACTGATCGGGAACTGCAAGTGAAACAATGGCGCTCTAGTTTTTAGTGAAATTTAAGTCAGTACTGAAGGTGGATAATGGCAGTACCCTGCCAGTCGTGCAAATTCCTTTCCCTGAATCTGCTGATTTCCTTAAATTTGTCTGTATTTTTACTGTCCACATGGGCCCGTGGAAGATGAAAAACCACTGCGCTGTTTGGAATTACCTCTTTCTTTTGTCTTCCCATTATGTGACTGATATACATGAGATCGATTGTGTACACTCGTTTACCGAGAAGCGGACTTGTTTGTGGTGCTTGTTTCTTTGTTGTTGATGTTGAAAATATAGAGAACAGGAAAAGATCCTCTTTCAAATGTGGAGTTGAAAAAAAAGGCAGAGGAAAAAGAAGCTCATGTACTGTTTAAATCCAGCCATAGTGGTGACTACAAAACATAAGAGTACATGTAGGTCAGCCGTGTGTGGGGGTTATGTACACGGAGAAACTTCTACTGCATTGTGTGAACATGGATAATGTAAACAAGGTGGTTCCGCCCTTTATTTGATTCCAAAGTTCGTTTATATTTTTCCAAGAACAGCAGGGTTTTTGTCGTTTTCAATAATTACGCCTATCAGGTGACACCAAGACACATTTGAATATCAAAAGTGAAAACTCAGAACTCCCCTCATTAAGTAGGTTTTATTTTCACGTTTGGGTTGGATTGGGCAAGGAATATCTTTCCAAGGTGGTTATGCATGTATATGTCCAAGGGAAGTTTTGCAAAATTAATCATGTTTGGGCGTAGGCTGATATGACAATACGTGTGCCTCTTGATGACACCACTTTCCCGAACTAAATCCTGATTTTTGCATGTGTCCGCTTCAATTGTTGCACCTCATCAATATGTAATTTTCATCATCCTAATATGATCAAAGTCGGAAGTCCCATATTGCCGAGCTTCTCTGAAACTGCGTCAGGTGCCTACGCAGAAGATGAATCTGTGTAATCAGTATTCCACAATGGCAGCAAAAAGGACGATACTCTTGGATGGGGGCCCAAACAAGGGGTAAATTTTGCTGCAATTTCAATAAATTTGTGCTTTGTTATTCACCAATGTGTGGATAAAAATTCCCAGGGCACAGTTTCTTATATGCATGGGTACAGCGTAGGTGCTGTCTGAATGCTTTTGACCGCTGACCTGCTGCTCACTAGTGCAGGAGACTTTTCCATTAAGTTCATGTACAGCATAAAGGTGCACAGGTCATCATTCTTACAGTGATATAAGACATCTTCAAATCGCCCCCTTACTGTAGAATTCAATTCTTTTGTCGCCTTCTTTTCTGTACGTTGACAGAATCCAGCATCTTCAGGAAAAAAAAAAACATCCCTAAGTTGAAAAGCTTCTGTCATTTCAACACTGGTCTTTGAGAGTCTCGTTTGACACAATTCAGGCCGCAGCCTGTTTACAAAGGTAAGTTCAGTTGCATTTGGAAGTATATTCAAAGTCATAACCCTTAAATTCTGGTATGCTCTAAAGCCATGTCATACGCCCGGATGATTTTCACTTCTTATCACCGTTCAGTTATTACTCATGTTTTTTTCTTCTGTGCTGCTTACTCCAAGCTTGCGAATTGTAAAGTCTGACTGGCCAGATGTTGACAGAAAAACAGACCCAATCCCCTCTTGGCACACTCGCCAACCGAGTTGTTTTTCATCTGGTGCAAATGTAAGAAAACAGGCCCATTGTGGTCAATTAGACTCTGGCAAAAACTGCATGTCAACATGCTGTGAAGGTGTGGGGTACCAGCAAGGCTCATAAGAAAGACTCGCAAATCAGACCTTAGACCGGTGAACGCTGAACTCACAGGCCGGGTTGCCAGGTTGTTTTGAAGAAAGGGCATGAGTATGTGCATAAGTGCATTTAATGGAAAGGATGACTGTTGGTTTTTTTTTTCAGCCTTTTTTTTTTTTTACTGGACTTTGTATTCTTAAAATAAACCTCTATTGAATGTCGAGCGTTGTCGAGTGGTTCTGTCTGGGGCCATTATTGACAGTGTTTGCTGAGGTTTTTTGGGTCTGGATTTGAAAATAACGGACAGTCTAGGCCTTGAAGGGTTAATGCTGTGTGCGGGTAAATGCCCATTTATGTTTAAACAACAGGACCATTTTGGGAAGAAGGTTGTGTGCTTGAGAAAACAACTTGTGGTTTCCATTAGCTGCATGAACCCCCCCCCCAAAAAGATGGAAAGTAAATTGATAAAAAATGTTTGTTTTTCTCTTGTGAATATCATTTATGGAGCTACCGTACATGTAAACAATCTTTTGAAAAGCAGCTTAGAAACCCATCTACCGTACATGTAAACAATCTTTTGAAAAGCAGCTGAGAAACCCATCCTGTTGCTTTTGCAAACTGAATTAAATGTAACTGTTTTGCCATGCCATTCATACTTCATCTTCGTAATGGATTGAATTTGAAATTACACCTCATCAAGACCCTCTGGCTGGGGGAGGGGAGTGGCATGGGGGGAGGGGCTGCTTCAGTGACCCTCTTCCCTACCTGCTGACAACTTCCAAGTTTGAACTGGCCCTTAATTGGCCTCACCGCGCAGAAAGACTGCCAGTACGAAGCTCACTTTGTGCCAGCAAAACCAAACACCAGCGTGCAACTTTCATGGCTCAGATGGGCAGGACACCATGTTGCATGTACTGTAGGCCCTACATGAAGCGGTATTTGTATCTTTACCTTTCCTCGTGCGTTTTCACAAGCCAGATAATAAACTACAATTGTTTGGGAATTGTCACCCCCGAGTAAGTGAGCAGACATCCTCAGAAGGAAGAGGGGAAGGATGTTCAGTATGCATTCGATTGTTTCGATGTTGAACCTTAGTCGCGAATGGAAGTGCGAGATGCACCGAAAGTGACTCCTCAGCGGAACCCTTCAATCAGATCACAGCAACTTCGACTGGATCTGATGTCGAGAGAGCGAAAAATTGAGCTCTCTACAGCAAGTGCCATTGTGCTCACCATCGCGTTACTTGATTGGCAACGTTTTGTCAGGGCTCCCCTTTCTCTGAGATTGACAGAAAAAAGAAAACGAACTTCACCCCACTGCACCTGTTAACAAAAATCACCCAGACAATCCTCACCACAAAACTTGCCCTGCCTTTTTCTGAGAGTTCCCCCACAGCACTGCCTGCAGATATTTTTCTCCCAACAGGACGAAAATCCCCAGGGTTTGAATGGTCATCATGGTGATAACCCAGGAGCTTTTTTTTTCTTTTGCTTGGAAAATCGTTTTTTTCCCCCTCAACCCTAGTCTGTTCATTTATCCCTCTGTTGACAAAGGATTGTTAGTTAATTCATGGCACCCCTGGTTACATGGGTACTCATTGTGTTTGTTTGTAAAAAAAGAAAAAAAAAACCTGGCCAGTTTCCCACTCATTGTGATTTTGAGCTGGAACGTGTTTCGTAAAGTAGCGGTATTCACTAAGAACGACTTTGGACAGCGTGTGAATGCTGTTTTCCATTTCCCTCTTAAAAACACCAAGTAGATTTTAACTTAGATATATGGAGGCAGTTCGTACTCAACTTAGATGCTTTATTTGGGTGCTACAGTAGGTGAGAGTTTACAAAAAAAGTCTGAACTTTTCCCATTGTGGTATTCAACGGACCCATCAAGAAGCAATGGACTGGACGTTGCTCAAGTCTCCGAAGTTTATAGGCACATTTGAAAAACCTTTGAAAAACAGGCATTTTTTTTTTAACCAAGTGGAATCAAGAGTGAAACTACAAACAAGATACTCTGTCACACGCTGAGGGCTATACGCTAACAAGGATTAGTTTTTGATGGAAAGCAAGTGAAATTACACAAATGAAAAAGGTTGATAAACGGACGAAGGCGCAACGAAAATTGTGAAAGGGCAAGGTACACACCGTGGCATGCATGCATTGCGCTACGTAGTGACACATTTTGCTAGCCCGTAGTTCAGCAGTCTTTTATTGTGCATGCTGTGTACGTTAAAAATTTCACATGAGCTACACGCCAAAAAACATATTTCTTTATTCATCAGATCACAAAAGTTTCGTGCCACTCGTGCACGGACGGATGTTGACAGGTCATATTGCCGGATCAGATCCACCACTTGCGTTCCCATCTGATCATGATCCACCAATTGTAGGATCTGATCCACCCATTGGGGGATCTGATCCACCAATTGGGGGATCTGTATCCTGCTCCAGAGGAGGATCAAGAAAGGTGGATCTGAGCCTGATCCACCTCATAACGGTTAGCGTTCCCACTACACACAATTACCGGATCTGATCCACCAATTGGGGGATCTGATCCACCAATTGGGGGATCTGTATCCTGCTCCAGAGGAGGATCAAGAAAGGTGGATCTGAGCCTGATCCACCTCATAACGGTTAGCGTCCCCACTACACACAATTACCGGATCTGATTCACCAATTGGGGGATCTGATCCACCAATTGGGGGATCTGATCCACCAATTGGGGGATCTGATCCACCAATTAGGGGATCTGTATCCTGCTCCAGAGGAGGATCAAGAAAGGTGGATCTGAGCCTGATCCACCTCATAACGGTTAGTGTTCCCACTACACACAATTGCAGGATCTGATCCACCAATTGGGGGATCTGATCCACCAATTGGGGGATCTGTATCCTGCTCCAGAGGAGGATCAAGAAAGATGGATCTGATCCTGATCCACCTTATAACGGTTAGCGTTCCCACTACACACAATTGCAGGATCTGATCCACCAATTGGGGGATCTGATCCGGCAATTTGGCAAAAGGTGGGTCAGATCCCCCAATTGGTGGATCAAGTGGGAACGGGCTGTTATACATGCAAGAGGCAAGGGATCTTACAGTAGACTTCTTCAAAGAATCAATGCAAGAAATCCACAGAGAGATCCTTACGTGAGAATAAATTGTCAGGAAATGATTGTCTAGTACTCACCTTTGCATTTGGGATGGACTTGGAATCCTCCAGAGACCATCGGGCAAGCTTCTGTAGAAGTTGGTTGATAACAGGATCATCTTTCCCTACTA